AGGACACAGACACAGAGAGAAGAATTTATACAACATCGACATCATCGTCCCCTTCAACGTCTTCCTCGGCTGTGTTGACTAAAGGCCACCACCCGATGCTGCGTTTCCGAGGAATACTAAGAGCAACGAGCGATAAATTTCTTTTTTGTTTTGTCGTTTCTCGTTCATTGATTTCGTTATTTTTTTTTTTTTTTTTTTCGTGGGTGTTTGATATTTTATGATAATTCTAGATTGATTGGAGCAAGCTTCGTCTAGAGAGATTGCACAGCAACGGTACGTGGCGCGCCTAACGTGTTCTTATTTTTTTTTTTTTTTTTTTATTCGTGAAAAATGAATATCTTTGCGATCACGTTGTATATATCGTTTTGCAATATGATTAGATATTCTTGTCTTCTTTGCCTTTTTTTTTTTTTTTATTATTATTATGCGGCACGCCTCGTTACAAGCGTGGTTTCGAGTGCGCAAATAGTAATTCAGCCACGCAGAAAGCGGATTCAATTAGAATTATATAACGACATGAAGAAGGAAAGAAACAAAGAAAAATATGTCTGACCGTGTATAGGAAAAGCAACGGTGAACGTGTATGCGTGTTGGCTCACGTTACCGCGTTCCCTGACAATTCGGTTTGACGTGCAGTCAGACCGCCATAGGGTAGTGTCCATAACTGGTTCATTCCAAATTAATCAGAACGATTCTCGTGTCAATTCGGTGAAAGTCTGACGTAGTACGCCCAGAACGAGGAGGCACGCTAATTAATTCACGCAAACTCGGCTCACGTATCATGAGCGTGCACGAAAGTCAGGGCAACTTTTTTGCTCGCTGACAGAGAAATGTTGCTCGCGAAACGTATAGCCGTTCCAACGTAAATGGATAGATGTGTTATACGAATTCTGGAAAATTACACCGATGCCGTTATTTAATCGAAATGAAAATTTTGCTATCCGGTGTAGGTGTTAAGTATTGAACGAGATAAGCGAGAAATTTCTTCGAAATTTCAATAACTTCCGACCGATCGATCATAGAGCGAAACGAAGCTTATGAATTTCCATTCCACCCGATGTACACGTGAAATTGGTAACAACGTTACCAAGTTACTGCAAGATCGTGCTGCAGTAATTAAGCCGGGGCTCTTACATGCATGAGCTCGTCTCCCAACGACAATTAAAGTACCACAGTAACGAGTATTATTAATATCGTTCGTTGTCATTAAGTAAATTCGAGCATCGCGTCCGATACGAAATTTCACATCTGAAATAACATGGATTTGAGCAAATGAAATTTTTCCTTTCCCTTGATTAATAACGATCCGATGATGCTTTGTGTGATAAATTACACGTCGATAAGATATAAATACGGTTAAATACGACGAAATGTATTATACTTTTTTTTTTTTTTTTTTCCTTTAATCATATCGCATACAAAGGTTTGAAGAATATCGAGAATCATTCTGTATAATTCGTTGTTTATAAACATGAATAAAATATTAATAGAACACAGAATCGATGATTTTAACGTCGTGCACTGCACTTCGAAGCGTTTAATGATACAAAAGCGAAATAAATAATACGTAGCTGTATATGCATAATGAGTATGCAACATCCTTATGCATAATCTGGTCTGGTGCAACGATTACGGAATCATTGAGACTTCTCTCATCTTGATCAATTAACACCGTAATCTCGTAATCTCGAGTAATAGGAATAGGTATAGGTATATAATTCGACAATTACAAAACAATTAGATGCTTATTAAATATTACTGCCGATAAATTGGCAAGCGATTACGTGCACGAACTATGAATAATGACAAGTGTTTCGATATATTTTTTTTTTTCTTTATATTATTTTTCTTTTCATCATTTGTTGTTGACGTTTCTCGACTCACCTTAAAGAATTCGCAAGCCATCGTGCTCGACGATGATATTATCACGCCACGACGTTTCTCGTGTCCCGATTTTGAGCCGCGAGACCACTCGCCACTCTGGGATTCCTGCAATTTGGCGCAGAGACAATCGCTGTTTTCTCTAACAGGTCGCCTAATGTCTCGACCACGTGACCGTGAAAGGTAGTGAAGGTAAAACGCGAACGACACGGACGTAAACGAAGGAATCGGTGGGATTTCCAACGCGATACGATCAGTGGCGTATCACGAGTTCCGAAGAGCCACGTTCCTTCTTTCTGATCGTAAATTTTATCCGACTCACTGTAAGACAGCGATGTGACACTAGGTAAACCTGTGAAGAAAAAAAATTATGCGTTAGAAAAACTATTTACTGTTTAAAAAAAATCCAGCTATAAAAAATTATTCAGTATACTCAAATAACACAAAATGTCTTTTGAATATCTTACATTTATATTATGAATCAATATATTTAAAGAAGAGATTATTCTTCTTTGAATTATGAATATATTTATATATTTACTTATTTTATTTTACTAACAGAATAATTATATCACAGAAATAATTATATCAGTTTCCGTTCGATTATCTTATATTATTCCATCTGATAGGAATATTTTTTTTTCTTGAATTTAAAATTTAATATTAGAAGACAAATAAATCAAATCTAATTGAATCGTTATTATTTATCATTTTTTTTTGTTTATTGAGATAAGGATTGTAAGACGTTTAAATTTAAAATGGACGTAAAATAAACGTCCTTTAAGATGCTAAAAAATATTCATAAGGATCTATTGTAAAAAGAAATTATACGACGCAATAAATCTGATTTTAACATGGTAATAAATAGATTTTTCTCAAATCTATGTTATCAAGATTAATTATAACTATCTGATATGAAATAAATTGGCATTTAAATCCCCAATGTTATTCGACAAACTATCTTCCGATAAGATTATGTAATCCATTTACCTGACTAATTTTAACAGAACGAAAGAAAAATCGTCTTGTCGTTTCTAAAAAAGAAAAGAAGTAAAATGAGAAAATAACAAAAGAAATGAAAAGAAGAAAGATTGAACACAAAGTAGGATCGAGAAGACGAAATGAAACAAGGGAAAGAGCAAGGAGAAGCAGCTGACGATAATTATTCCCCCTTTAATCGGCCACGGTTTTTGTAGCGCCTGTTTGTTACTGGTATATACGAATGAAAAGAATGCGAGTGGTGAAATTGCCTGAATGCTAGGGAAAGGATAGCATGCTCGCTGTAGAAACCGTGAATGCGTCTCTGCACAAAGGCGGTTGTAAACACGACCGAGTAATGTATAATTACAGACTGCAAGTGTAATTTCCAATACGACCTTGCTTGGCGACTCTCTCAGGCCACCGAGTCAGAATTCTCACAGTACATCGTCCTAGAACTCGACCGAATCGTTTCATGAAATCAACTCGATGAAAATTTATAATTAATGCATGTGATACACGTTTCACAGTTGGTAAACGGAATGCTGTTTTCTTTGGTGGCGCTGTAAACTGACAACAATATCGAACGCGTCTTTAAATTGCTTCCAAATGATAATGAAGCAATTTTGCTAATTGCCAAAGTTTTCTTTTTGGAAAGAAAAATGAAATAAGAAACAATTTTTATTTGATTCACTGATTTTATATAAAAAATTATAAACCATTATAATCACATCTTAACACAGATTTAACACAATCGATGATATTGATTTCTATAGTAAGGAATAACACGATCTACGTATATATTATAGGTCGAATTATCAAGTGATATATAAATAGCACGAGGAAAGTAAACAAACTAACGATGGTATAATTAAAAGATATAGGAAAGACGTGTTCGATTTTTCACTCATTTGAGATCGATGCCTATGTACTACATATGCATATATGAGCATGTAGAAACGCAACAATAACGGATGCACGGTAAAACGAGTCTGAATGAAAGGTCACTGAAATCCTTTAACTTTCCCTCTCTGTGCTATCGTAGATAATTACTGTGTCAAAATCGATAGCCTTTCGAACGAACGGTCTCGAACATCGTACTTTCAACGTACAACTTTCAACCGCTCACCTTCTATCGAAAATCTGAACTATATCTACTTTCTCATTGAAGTTGTAATCGGTAAAGTTTATAGCATTCTTAATACACAAACTATGTATTTAGAGAATTAGAACAAGAACATTAAATGTATATTGGACACCGAACGAAAAATAACGATACTATTCACTCGACGAATGTCGTGCTACTGACGCGTACTCATTCTGTATTTCGCGTTGAAGATTAAACGAAATCCAAAGACTTTCTCCCCTCCCTTCTTGTATTTGTTTCTCTGTCTGATCGCTTTCGTTCACTGTCCTTGTTCTATCTGTCGAGTAAATCTATCCGTCATTGTTCTCAACATGTCTGTTACACGTCTGTTCTACTGTCCAGTATTGCAACGAGTTTTATATACGAATTCTTCGTGGTACTTCTTTTCTACCTCAGCTGTCCATATCTACTGTGAAAGATTGAACACAGCGATACCGAGACCTAGTGTATGGAATGCGTGAATTTTTCTTTATTCTTTTTTCTTTTTCAATACTTTTTCTATCTCGATGTCTGCCGTAAAAGATCGATAGATGCTTGTTGATGAAGAAATACGGAGTTTGCACACTTTGTCGCATTTCCTGTTCTTTCGAGATGACTATTCTTTGCGTGTTTCTATATATGTACATATGCGTTATAAAAAGTTTGAAATAGAGAATGATGTTATGCAATATTTTTCATTGTTGAACAAAATATGAAATTTATTGGTAGTAAAGGTAAAATATCGCATGTTCTAGACCATACATAAAATTACATAATTACATAATTACATCACATAAATTATTTGATAACAACACGTTTTCGTTTTTTCTTCTTCTTCATATAATCATGAAAATGATATAAAAATATCTTTATATATATTTTTTAATCTAGTTTTTTAAGAATGTCTTGGATTCGTTTTTTAAATTTAAAAGACCATGTTAAAAAATAATAATGAAATGAATCAAACAAAAATATAAAAAATAATGTTGTAAGAATAATGTGTATGTAATTATTAGTTATTTATTATTTTTTATTATCTTTATTCGAATAATGTGTGAACAATGCAACAAAGAAAAAATGAATCACATAGGAGCAAAGTTCAGTTCAATCGTTGCTTTTATTTTTTTTTTATAATCGTATATTTATATAATCGTATAAATTTAACTCGAAGTTTTAATTTAAATGATTTTTTTCAGATACGATGTACGAAAAATATTCTTATTTACTCAATACTTACATTTTTTTATATTTTAATTTAATTTAATAATAATATGTTGATATTTTTAAAATAACAACATTTTTAAGGTAAATTATTGAAGAAATTTTCATTTTTGATTATTTATGAAATAAAGAAAAGGATATTAAAATAATAAATATTCAATATTATTATGCTATTAAAGAAATATGTAAATTTTAATTTCTTTAAATGAAAACAAGTTAAAACAAGTTATCGTGTTTCTCGAGTCTAAGAAAAATCTAGAACTTAAAAAACTATAGATGCGAACAAACACATATTGAATAAAATTGCACGTAATAATACAAAATTCTTTCGATGAATAACAACCTACAAATGTATATCATATATAGTTTCATATACATTCACATCACTTATAATACGATAGTTTTCAGAAAATCTCTGTCTGAACCGGTACAATAAAAATGACAAATAGTTCATTGTACGAGGCAATATTTACACTCGTGTAACTCTTCTCTGGTATCAATCTCGACGAATAAAAAGGAAATCCACGTTCTTTTCAACGATATCGGCTTTAAAGCCGAGATCAAGTCGAGATTGTTGAAAAACTAGACCGATCCTACGAAAATATCGAATATCTAGTGATATCTAACATTCACGATGACATACATACGTCTCCGGATGCTTGTGATTTAAATGGATCAATGAGATGCATTCCCGCGAAACGCTAGAGGCCAGGCTTTTCTCATTTCTGCGCCATAAAGCGTCGGCATTGCGATGAAGACGACGACGCGAGGATACATCTAGGATTGGCATGTCGCCAACAGGTCCTTTGGGAAATATATATTATCTCTTATATCTGTATGTGTATATACGTACACATACACATATATATTGCTATACGTAATCGTCGTTTTCGCAATATATGTAAATCCTTTTTGCTTCGCGTTGCCAATGGCCGATCTCCTGATTGCCAAGATGTATGCACCAGGTGCAACGATGTATTCACGGTATATTTTAGCAATCTAACAGGACAATAATAGTCTTTATTTTTACGAATTTTTCTATTAATTTTTATATTAATAAAAAGCGTATTATTCGTGTGAATGTTGATGAAAAACAATTGGAAGGAATAAAATGTAAACATACACGAGCACAAATGGAAATAATTATTGATATATACAATTTTTGTTCAAGTTAATTAAAAATATTAATCAAGTTAATCTTAGAAATAATTCATTAACTTGCCAGATGTGACGATATTATCACGAAAGAAAACAACTCTACAGAGAAAAATAAAATATATAATAAAATAAATTAAGAGTTTTAAAAAATTAGTTACCTTACTTCAAATGACGTAATATGAAATAAAATTAATTTATGGCTTCAAAAAGTAATTTGAATTGTATCATCATAAAAATTTGAAATAATTAAATGAGTCCTATAATTTTTTATATAATTATATATACAACAATTATGACATTAATTTTAAAAATCTCATTCTAAAAACGGACTTATTTTACAAAAAAATTTTCAAGGAAAAAATGCACGCTCTTATTTTTTATTTAAAAATAATCCAACCTTCGAAGAAAAATTTGCAAACTAAAAGTTTGTTTATAATTTCCAACATTTCTAAAATTAAATTTTTAATTAAAAAACAACTATTATTAGAATATCAAATCTTCTAATTTAAAAAAAAAAATTTAATTCTAACAATAATTCTGAACGATCAACATCTGATTTATGATAAATACCATTTGTAGGAAATAACTTTTTGCCCTTTGCATAATTCTGGACTTCTAACAAAATTCAATTTCGCTTCACTAAATTGTTAAAATGTCGCACTGTGTGACCATAACGTAGAAATGCAAATTACAATTTCGGTTGTGACGGAACAAGGATTGGTCCAAAGCGCAGAGATGGACGATCGTGGTCACGAAGGCGAAAAAGTTTAGTTTCAAAAAAAAAAAAATATATACGTGTAATCGATGAAGTAAACGTGAAAGAGAAGTAGGTCATGAGCGTACGCTCGTCAAGCAACGCTTCTTCCGTGAATTCTAAACTTCTTAAATCCACCTACAACTTCTTAAATTTCCATCTCGTTGAAAATGAGATTTATTATCAAACGAAATATTCAACGATATGATTAATGTTTGTTCAAAAAACATTCCAACATTCCAATATCGTAATTATATTATTATTAAATAGATAATATCATAGTTTCCAATAATTTTATCTCTTTTTTTATCATCTTACAATTAAGATTTTTTTCAATTCTTGAAGAAAACACAGCAATAAAATATCGATTATTTTACGATTGATCGACGATAGTTAATCCGCTTTCTAATCTCATCACTTTCTCGATGTAGAAGATAGATCTTGAAAATTTTATCTATTTCCTTAATAATAATGAATTCTACGATTAAGATTTTTTCAATCTTTCAAAAACGCAGCAATAAAATATTATTAACAATAAATTCTATGATTAAGATCTTTTCGATTAAATTTGCAAAACATAGCAATAAAAATTATAGTGTGTATATATCGATTATAGTATTTTATATATCGTCGATTGTTCGAATCACATTTTATACATCTTTATCACGATTTTTTTCTCAATGAAATCACATATAAGATATAGATTATTCCACTCTTGAAAGACGGGGATGTTATCTTAAATTAATTAGGAAAATACATACACTTTGTCATGTGTGCTCCGTGCACTTAGCGCACTGAAAGAGGTTCTTGTATATTATATGCGTTCGAATATGCATATGCATATGTAAGGAATATGCACTTTACCTGTACATATATCATGATCATGTACATGTGCGCATATTACACGAGCTTTTATCGGTGAAAGAAAAAAGCAAGAGATAGTATATATTTTATTATTCTGTCATGAGTCATTATGAGTCTTGTAAAAATTAAAAATACTTATCGTTGTCGCGTACTTGATTTTTTGGAATATTTAACGGAAGATTAGAATATCTATTTTTGGACGAGCAAAATGACAAATATAAACGTATATTTAACGTTTCGTTGAAAAAAGAAAAAAAGAAGAACAAAAGAAAGAACACTTCTATTTTTATAAAAATTTAACTTTTAGTATCATGAATTATGAATAATGATTCTTGTTTTGCGTAACCTGTTCGGAATAATTCCGATTCCATAGCGCAACTCCAAACCAATGACGCACGAATGCATTAGTTTTGTCGCAACATGACATTGTTAAAAGCAATCTCATAACGATAAGGAAAATATATTATGGCTCAAGTCAAAAGTAATTTTGAAAAAATATATTGCTTTCTGAAGATAAAATATTCATTTAATAAATCTTACTTTATGTTGCACGTTGTTGAGAATTCATTAAAAAAAAAAAAAA